CGACCAAACTCCTGCACGCAACACATCAAACAGCCGTGACTACCAAATATTTTTCAGGGGAAGTTGCTAAAGCAAGGTTGATTTGTTGCTAAAAGTTGCTAAATGACGTTGTGATTTTTGTGACGACGACGTCATTATGTAATCACAACGCAAAATTGTGTCACTGCATCAAATCTCAACAAAAAAAATACATTTTATATATGTTCATTTAGATTTGTTTGTAAAATAATATAAACGCATAATATAATATAAAAATGTAAATAACTGTTTTTAAATAGCCTACGTTAGATTTTTGCAAACGTACACATTTTTGAACGAGTACAATTTACGTTTTTTTATTAGCTAGTAAACAAGTAAAACTACACATTTTCCATTTTTCTAGATATTTTTCTTATAGTGTACCAACTGATCAACACTCGCATGCACAAGCTACTAACAAAGTGTATCATAAATGAGCAATTATTAAATGACAAAATTATATTATTACTATTATTATTAAATTAAACAATTGCAAATAGCAGCTAACTTAATCCACGTGATGTGTGTACTACTAGGCATCTTTGTTTTTCTCTTTTTGTGTAATTTAAATGGTAAATGCTCCTTTTTATCATTTGAGTCACTTATCAAATAAATTGTAAAAATAGCTCAACTGTTAGAGTCAGTTTCACCTTCTTCACTGACTGCTTCTCGCCGCACACTTTACATGTCCATGTCTTACTCTTCTTCATCTAGAGGAGAAAAATAATCGGTTACTCCGATTCACAAGCTTTTGACTCAATTCGACATTCATTTGGAAAAAAACACATACATTTTTCAGAAGTAACAAAGGCTTATTGGCATAATTAGATGGTGACGAGATACAAATAACATTTATTGAACGTTTGTCAACTGAAAACAGCACAGGCCACAAGATCTCGGTTCAACAAAATGAAGATGAATTACAATAGATTAATCGACATTGTCTAATATTTAGACAATCTGAATGCGAGGGGGAGACGCTGACATTAATTTTAAGAAACGTTAAGTGGATAACTAAGGGCTGAGGGATTTATGTCAAGCGTTTGTGATTTAGCAGCTAACGTTACAACGCGAGAAAAACAGAAAAACAGGTTTAATTCTGAACTAAAAGGGACATGCGAAACAGTACCTGCTGTACTTGATATGTTTGACAGGAAAAACATCTCAGTACATGAAATTCTTGAACCATGTTGTTGGGTAGTTTTCACAGTCCGGACTCGGAGAATAAAAGTAAATAAAGTAAAGCTCCTATTTATGTTTCCCGCCGCCGCCCACAGCCTTCTTCTTCTACGTTAGTTCTTCCTTCCGCACAGCGCCCTCTAGAGGAGCTATGGATCAATGAGCGTAAAACAAGTAAAACATCTGTGTGTGACTGAGGGAATTAGCACATTTGACAGATTCTTTTGGATTATAATGAGCACATCTCAAAACAAAACAGCTTTTAGAGGAATTATGGGTCTTTCAAATAGTGAGGACCACTTCATATGTCTTCATACCTACAAATCAAAATAATGTGCATCCAATTATTAAGAAAATTAAACAAATATTAAATTCATGGTTAAAGAGAGATCTGTGACTAAAAGGAAGAATGTTATTATCCAGAACTGAAGGGTTGTGACGTTTAGTGTATACAGCTCTTGCATTAGACGTTCCACAATCGGTCATAACGGAGGTTGATACTTTTTTGTTCAATTTCATCTGGAAGAACAGACCA